ATTTGTTGACCCAAAGTTACACTTCTGCCACTAGAGCTGCTACTACTAAAATTGCATTCCATGTATTCAGTTTTAGTTCTACTCAAATGAAGGCCTTTAGAATCCAACGTAAACCACTATAATTCAAGTTTTTCCTTAACTTTTTCTCTCTTCTTATCCAAGAGAAGGATATCATCGGCAAAAAGCATACACCAAGGCTTACACCAAGGAACATCCTCCTGTAAATGTCCAGTAAGACCATCCAAAACTAAAGCAAAAAGATAATGGCTTAAAGATAAGCAAAAAGATAATGGCTTAAAGTCAATCCCTGATGTAATCCAACAGAAATAGGAAAATATTTGGTCAATCCTCCTTCAATTCGAACACAAGCAACAGTTCTAGCATACATATCTTTAATGACTTGAATATAAGTCATATCAACACCTTTCTTCTCAAGAACTCTCCAAAAGATATCTCATGGAACCTTATCATAAGCTTTTTCTAAATCAATAAAAATCAAATGTAGATTCTCCTTATTATCTCTGAACATCTCCATCAAACCTCTCAATAAATGTATAGCTTCCATAGTAGGCTTGCCCGACATAAATTCAAATTGATTATGAGAAGTCTTTGCAATATGTCTTAACCTATGTTCAATTACCCTCTCCCATAATTTTAAAGTATGACACATCAACTTAATTCCTCTATAATTTGCACACTCTTGTGCATCCCCTTTATTCTTAAAAATAAGGACCAACTACTTAATGCATGCCTATATACTAAGACTTTTGACACCAATGCACTTTTTGACACCAATGCACGGAGATAATAAACAAAAAATATTTAACAAATACCAAAAATTCTCCAAATGAATGCACATATCAAAAAGATACCTTAATGCATGCCTATATACTAAGACTTTTGACACCACTATACTTTTTAAAAGTAAAAATTGATGGAAATATTTGTGTTAATTCTGGACAAATATAACACATCAAACAATGATCAATGCACATTTCATTTGCATGTTCTATTAATCAATTTATTTTAACTTATTACTATAATTAAAATTATACTAATATGATGACGTAGAGAAGATTGTAATTAATTTTCTAGCTTTAGATTTGTCCTTATAGTTTGACATTTTTTATACAACTTAGTTTAATTTTTTTTAGTGCCCAATCCTGACATGGGAATGCAGTTGGTGTGGATTTATTCAATCTCATGAAGGCGAGGTGGAAATTGGCCTTATTTGGTTTGCGGCTATGAGTGGTGGTTGTTGGTTTTTTCCTCTTGCCTTTTTAAGAGTATTGATGGTTGTTCGATAGGCCAACACTTCTTAAGATTGGGTGCAGCTGAAGTTGACTGTTGCTATTCCAACAAGCTGTCAGCACCTTTTACGCACTTCTATCATGCATGAAATTTCCACATCAGTGATTGGGATTTCATTTTTTATTGGTTAAATGAAGTAATGAACTATAATAAAATTTCATTTTTTTTATTATTCTTAAATTCTATTTTATATTTAGTATTTTTCATATTTGCAAAAGGAAAAAAAAAATAGAGAGATCATTGGAGCAATCTATAGTCATGATGCAACTGTTGTTACATTAGATCTCCCCAATAGTTCTTTTCTTATGAAACTACAATACAAAACAAAGATGGGATTCCTTAATATGGAAAGAAAAGATAATCTAAAGCTCGTATGCTAAAAACAAAGCCTATGGAAAGAGACCGACATTCAACTGAATTAATTTTAGTAGAATTTGATTACCAAACAACTCACAATTATAAAAAAATTATATGCAGCTTCAACTGGAGTGGAATGGCAGGGTTTGCGATAGCAATATTTTGATTGATAAGATTAGAAATACTTTAAAGAGTAAATTAAATTTAAATTTATTCTTGTCTTTTTAGAATTAATCTAAATCAAAATAGAGTTGATCATATATATTATCTTAGCAATGAGGGCTTTATTAATAGTAAATATATTGTATGGAATTGATAACATTTTGCCTAAATAAAGTTTATCTTTCCAGATTCACTTTTATCAGTGCAAATTGGATGTGTAATTCCCCCTGAGTGCGAAAAATGTGTGATTGTATAATTTCGATAAAGCCATATGAACATGGAGCCTAATTTTTTCTTACATTGCTATTTTTGTTTCTTCTTCTATTTTATTTATCAAAGTTGATATTAATAGTTAGTGCTTTATACTTTAATCAAACATTTTGGTCAGAAATTAATAGGTAAAAGTTAACTTCATTTTGGTCATTGATTTTATTTGTTACTAATTTCTCGTTAAATTTGTAAAATTATTTTGTTTTCATTTGAGTTTTAATTGCAGCATTTTTTGCTTACATTTTAAAAAAAGTAAGTTATATAATTGCTTGGTGACTTGTGATGTGTGAATCCTTAATTTTCTTTGCAAGAAATTATATTATATATCATATTAGTTGCACTGAGAAACCCTAACTCTAAGTCATATTGCATCAAATTAGCAGCAAAAACAACAATTTGTGTCATAATGTCACTTGCAAATGAAGCTAACTAGGGTAATTTCATGGATCTTGAAAGGGATAATTGGCCAAACTATTAAACAAACCAAATTAACTATATGCAACAACCAACTAGTTACCAAAGATTAAGAATATAGCATGGCAAGTGAGGTGAGTAATCATATTTTTAAATTTCAATAATTTTCTTTATTTTAAAATGTATGTTTGACTTCATATATATTCTAGTTTAGTTAGATTATTCATACTATCAGACAGAATATAGAAATGCATGAAACATATGTATGAGATGCAAAATAGACATGATATAAAAGATATTCATGATAAGTATGATAGAAAAAGATATGCATAATATAAAAATATGCATGAGATAAGAGATATGCATGACATAAAGATGTGCACTATAGATATGCATGATATGAGTGATATATATGATAATTAATTGTATAGAAGAGTATGCATATTAGTAGATGTATAAAAAATCTCAGAATAATGTATATTATGAAGAATGAAATGATTTATATATAAATGTTTGTATTTGCATGTTCAGAGGAAGAATTCACTCCTTAATGATATAAGTAGAGGATGTCAGTGTACCCACGAGCGTAGAGTTTTTCTATCACCACAGACTACTGTAATAGTTAATTCATTAACCATTGTGAGAATGAGATAATATCGGTCATAAGCGTCTACACCATAAATTACCTCACCATACATTTGTGATATTTACATTGTTAATTGTTGCGATAATGGGATAATATTAGTCATGAGGAAGGTAAAGGCCTTTCCATCCCGCACAATTCTGATATTTACATCGCTAACTGATGTGTCGACAAGATAATATCAACCAAGGGTGTATTAGGTTTTGTTGACGGAGATTCTCATAGAGATAGATATGTATGTAAATAGTATAAAACAAGCGTATAGATAAAGTAAATAGATACAAAAGATTTCAATATTTTCATTTAGAAAAGATCATTGATACATGCATTAGTATATTATCATATTTCTTGTAAAAATATAAAAGGCTAATATATTAAAAGATTTCTTATAGAGATGAAAAACAAACATGCATATTGATTTTTTTTTGTTGTAGTTTAGAAATGTGATTATTCCTAAGTTATTTTTAGATAATTAATTATGTTGCTTTAATATTACTTTTAGGTTTTAATTTGATAAACAAAAAAGAATCAAATGTGTATATGAGGCGAACAACAAACAGAAAGGTAAAAAGGTACACATTTCTATTGATATGAGCGATATATATGATAATTAATTGTATAGAAGAGTATGCATATTAGTAGATGTATAAAAAATCTCAGAATAATGTATATTATGAAGAATGAAATGATTTATATATAAATGTTTGTATTTGCATGTTCAGAGGAAGAATTCACTCCTTAATGATATAAGTAGAGGACGTCAGTGTACCCACGAGCATAGAGTTTTTCTATCACCCCAGACTACTATAATAGTTAGTTCATTAACCATTGTGAGAATGAGATAATATCGGTCAGAAGCGTGTGCATCATAAATTATCTCCCCATACATCTGTGATATTTACATTGTTAATTGTTGTGATGATGGGATAATATTGGTCATGAGGAAGGTAAGGGTCTTTCCATCCCACACAATTCTGATATTTACATCGCTAACTGATGTGCCGACATGATAATATCAACCAAGGGTTTATTAGGTTTTGTTGACAGAGATTCTCATAAAGATAGATATGTATGTAAATAGTATAAAACAAGCGTATAGATAAAGTAAATAGATACAAAAGATTTCAATATTTTCATTTAGAAAAGATCATTGATACATGCATTAGTATATTATCATATTTCTTGTAAAAATATAAAAGGCTAATATATTAAAAGATTTCTTATAGAGATGAAAAACAAACATGCATATTGATTTTTTTTTGCTGTCGTTTAGAAATGTGATTATTCTTAAGTTATTTTTAGATAACTGATTATGTTGCTTTAATATTACTTTTAGGTTTTAATTTGATAAACAAAAAAGAATCAAATGTGTATATGAGGCGAACAACAAACAGAAAGGTACACATTTCTACTTGCTAATTTAATTATTTTCTTTAATGAATCTTTCATGTATATTTGAATATTAATTTGTTAGTGATAGAAATAAAATAATAGATAATTAATTTTCACAGTTTGACCGTTCTTTCTCGTCTTGGTTAATTCCAAAGTCCGGACTCGGCCCTGACAAAATACCTTCTAGGATCCCTCTAGGATTGTATCAACTACAAAGACCCTAACAAGATGACCCCAAGACAGGACCAATCCAATCAAATATCGCACAAGGTTTAATATTTATGAGTCCAATCCAATCCATTCATTGAAAATAGTAAGCATGAAGCCCTATAATTTTTATGCTTAAAATCACCACAGACAAGGCTATAAATAAACAACTTCATCATTCACTTGGGAGAGTGGATTGGATTGATAGTAAATGCTAAGAGAGTTTTAATTAAGCAATTTCTCTAAATTTCTACTTATGAAGCATCTACCTAGTCCTTCAATTTTCCAATGAGTGTCTCCATCATCCCTTTAGCTACATGGCATCCAACATAAGATTTTTTTTTTTCAATTGACCAAAAGGGAGAGAAACTTGTATTAAATTTAGAACAGAAAATTTTTTAACAGGTTCGCCCTTGGTTTTCTTTTGATGGATTTAACACATAAAATTCCTTGTTTTTTGTTGTGTGGGCATTTTGAAAAACTCAAACAACCACACAAATGTCATTAAATCCTATTGATTAATCCATAGAACCCTCTCCAGCATACAGCATGACTAATACAAATATTACTTAAATTTACAAGAAAACTACTGAATTCTTATATATTTACATGCCTCATACCTAAACTTCTATATTCACGTATGACACCCTAATATATAAATCACATTCAAAATGCCGCCAACATTAGTTTCTATAAAGTGAAATACACCTTTACATGTATATGTATTGATTGTTTTAGACATTAAAGTGCTATAAGAAAATATTAAAATTCAAATGTAATACATATAAATACATAGGAATTTAGTATAATAGTTACTTGGTAGTGATAAATGAAATACTCATAGCACTATAATAAGGTACAGTAGTTGAATAGAAGACTCCCTTTACCTCTTAAATCAATAGGCAATCCTGATTTAAGATCTTCTTTTTCATTCTTATCAGATATGGCACTTGTGACAACATTATTGTATCTCTGTGAAGCGGACGAAAAGCTCCGGCAAAAAGGTTTGGTGAGGGAAATGCTGGATGAGCTTGACAGTTTAGATTGGATGGTTAATCTTTTATCTGCTATTGTAGTTGATGGTAGCATCATCCGAGAAGAGAAGGCTGACCGTCTAGTGGCCAACATTTGCAGACTAGTTGCCATTGATGCAGCCATCTCCTAGTTGATAAGTTGCAGAAATAAAAGTTGGTATCTGCATTAAACTCCAAAAGAGTTTAGCATGGCATGCTAATTCTAGCTGAAACTACTCAAGAGAAGAGGCAGTGGCATTTTCTGCCACAGCTTACTCTAGCTGCAGCAGGAAGAATGCCCGGCAAAAATTATGCATACAACAGAGAAACCAAAGCAATGCCAGACATCAGCATTGATGTACTGCATGAAGACATCAAACGGCTAAGAGATCAACGGATGAAGAAATATAAAAGTTGCAGCAAGCCGATTAATATAGGTCAGAGAATCTAGGGCGAAACAAAAAGAGGTTCATGCAACAAAATATTGCCGATCAACATTATATATATAATAAAAAAAAGACACATTTCACCAAAAAGCATCCAAATTCACGGTAAAATATCCTTACACTGAATCATTAGATGCAATTTCTCACAACATAGAAAATTATCGAGCTGGACGCAAAAGAATATCCTTCAGATCAACAAGAATATGAAGAGCACAATTTCAGCAAAATGCTCCCAAACGAAAAGAGCGTAAAATCAAACAAAGAAAAAACAGCATTTCCACATAACGAAATCAAAAACTAGTTCACGTAAGAAGACGATGCCCTAGAAATCGGAAAAACTAGTACTGAAAAACAAAATCATGGCTCGAGAAACAACAATGGAGCTCAAACTCATCATTCAACTCATATCAATGCCAAAACCCTCAGTAAATCACCAAACCAATTCTAGTAGAAGAACATGAAGAAGATGATCACCACTTTCTGCATGATCCGCACACCAAATCCCTCTAAGAAACAGGGAGAAAAGCGGAATGGAGACCTAAAGACAAGCCAGATCGAGTTGTTAGTTGAGTTAAAGCTCACCAGAACGAACTCGTCCCCTTCCTCCCCTTCCTCGTTGGTATCGCAGCTCGGAAGAGATTCAAAATGCCGATACCTCGTCGGCGAAACCGAGGATACAGTGCCCACTTCGGCCTACAATCTGGTGAGCTTCCCTTTAAAACAATAATTTTGCAGCACTTTTCAATAGAATTTATAATGTAGGTCTAATTTATTTAAGAATTCAAATGAAAATCCAAATTTACTAAATTAGATTCATATAAGAATTTAAGAAATTTGGTTCGTACTGTAAGAAGCCTATCCAAGATTTGGTATTGAAAAACATCGTTATGAGTTTCAAGCATCTCATAAACGAGCATAAACAATGATGGATTAGAGTCCCCTTCCGTGTGTCGTCTAGATAACCTTGAAGAATTGGTTAATGATCTCGGCGATAAAGCATGATAAATGCAAGAGAGCCAACCAATAAGTTTGATAGATGCAGGTGAGCTGGCGAATAAGCTTGATATATGCAGATGAGCTCGAAAAAGGTGCTAAATAAGTACAAGCGAGTTAAACAAAGCAGCTTGTCAGATCCTCTTGAGGAGAAGTGATCATTGCAGTTATCACGATTATGTTTATATTTCAAAAAAGGAGGTTTGATCTAATACGCCAAGAAGTCCCATTTACGTGAGGGCTTTCTCATTAGCTTAAGAAGGTCATTTTATGATGTCCATTTAATTTCTTGGTTCTCTTAGCTCTTCGACGGGATACTGTGAGAAAAATGAGAGAATGAAAAAAGATTTGTCATTTTTATCTCCTATTCGATGAATTTTGAGATCATAGTGAGTGCTCTGTCAATCGAGAGATCGATAAGAAATTGAATTACATTTCAATCAAAATAGTGTTTCTCACCATCACAAATCTATGTTGTCTATATCTTTAAGGAGTAGTCACATATAATTACTACAAAGTCTAGACTTTCCTTACTCTACGGGCAATCTCACTATTTCTGCAGGGAGTAATCGCGAGGAATTTTGAGTGGATGATAATTGACTCTTACATTGAAGCTATTGCCTCTTTAGATGGTAAAAGTAGCTTATTCCATTGTTATGATGTTTGTGTTCCGTCTTCTTTTTATTTTGAAAGGTGTTGACAATTTGTCTATCGTCATATACTTTTCTTTTTTTTAAAATTAAGTCTCTCTTCCGGATCATGTGAATGATCAAGAGAAGAGAGGAATCAGAGAAACAAGAAATACAATAACGGCAGATGACCAAAGGAAAAAATACATGATTTTTCATATACATTTTATGCTTAATTTTATGCTCTTTAAAGAAAGATATTTTGCATGTTTTTTGTTTCCGGCACAAGAAATGGAATTTTGGAGAAAAAGAAACAAAAACGGTGCAATTTGGAGCAAAAACGAGCAAGAAATGAAATTTTGCTCTATCACCTTTCGATAAGTCTTTTGATGTTTAATCCCTTTTACACTTCTTACATATTTTTGAATGAAATTGCACTTTAAAGGAAGATTGTTTTCATGCTTATTTTGTAGGGATATCTGTTAGGAACACAATGCAACTGAATGCAACTGAAATGGGGCAACGAAGCTAAAGCGGAGCCAAACAGAGCGAAACAGTGGAGTTGCGCAGTTTGTTCGCTGACGGCGCCCAAAACGGCGCCGACGGCGAGATTTACCCAAGAAGACCGAAAAATGACAGAAAAGTTTGTCGACAGCGCCCTCGAGCCCGCCGACGGCACCCGGAACGACTATGGACTGACGTTTGGCGGTTATGGGCCGAAATTCAACTTATTTGGACGTTTTTTGAAATGATTCTTGTGGCAACTCTTCAAACTTCATCCCTACACTTTAAAAGAACGAATTTAGGTTAGAAAAAGTGGGGTGAGGAATGTTAGGAAAAGTGTGGAGAAAGTTTAGGGTTTTTAGAATAGGAGTAGAAATGTAGATTTCTACCCTTTTGGAGAGATTGGAGAAGAGATTTTGAGAGAATTTGTAAGGAGTTGTTCTAGCATTGCATGGATCGACGGGAGACTTTGTGGGAGAGATATTCGTCTTTCTTTCAAAGGGAAAAAGCTAAGTATTGTGTTCTTCATTATCTTTTATTTTTTTTAAACGCTTATCTAGTGGATTTGATTTGATTAAATGAAGTTTCCATTTTGTTTACTTCGTGCTTTGTGATGGGCTTCTCTTACTCTCTCTTCTTGTTTGGAAATAATAGTATGAGAAGATTATGCCGTTGTTTTCATTTTACTTTTCTTTTGTAATGAGTATAATTCATGTTTAGGATTTTATGATGCATGTTAGAAGCAGATTTAATTATCAATGTGATGGTTTTTACTTGCACTTTATTTACATTATAATAAAG